CGTTCGCCGGTCTATTCAAGTGTCTGTTATGCACGCATCCAAAAGGAAACGAAGAGAAAGTGCAACTCTTACATATTGCATCTACTCTAGAGAAGTTGGAAAAGAAATTAGAAACTGTTGAGAGGTAAGCATATTTGAAATTATGTGATAAGGAGCTATTAAAATGTGTTTCTAATCCCGGTATCCCTGTTTTTTTCACGCAATTTGCTTGTTTCCAGGGCTGTTGACCCTCACGGCATTAGCAGAGGACGTAAACTGTCGGTTGGACCAAGAGGTAGCACCACTGGAGATCATGGTTTGGACGCTCTAGCTGAAGGACCAGAAGAGGATAACGACTCAGATTCTGAAACCGACACACTTTCTACTGTGCCAAGAGTATGAAAAAATATTGAACTACATACCACTTTTATATCTAACCACTTATTATTATGTTTTTAGGTTCGTGTTAAACTATTAGTTATGCACCTACTCATAATAATTTGGGTATTCGTTGTATTTGCAGGAAAAGAGAGATGATCTCATAAACCCGTACTGGATTGAGGATCCTGAGTTGAAAAAGGGTGAAGTAGACTTTTTGAGTCCCGCCGAATTATCTTTCTGGAAAGATCTCATTGACAAATATTTATACCCTATCGATGCTAACAAGGAGGAGCAGGTAAAGAAAGAATCATTAATTGTCTGAATAAATTGAACTCATTCCTTTCTTTTATTCGTATTTAATCGATCTTTAAATATTGAAAAAACAATAAACTAAATTAAAACTTAGCAACAGGAGTTTAAGCAATAATATATGATTCAAATAAAAATAAGTATAACGATGAATAACTTAATGACTAGAAAATTTATATTGTCTTATTGGATTATTTTAATACCTGTGTGCAAATCTAATAAACTTTTTTTTCAGATACTTTATTCGATCTAACAGTCATTAGAAAACTTATCATTATGTCACCAGGCTTCCATAACATTTCATTAGTTAATTCCCTGAAAGGGCGCGCAAAGGTTGCGCATATTAATGTTATTTGATCGTTATTTTATAAGTCCCATGTGATAGGGGCTCAGGTTGGCTCCGTGTTTCTGAGAATTTTGAAACTCGAATAATCTAATATTTTGCCCGATCTGGGAATTGCTTGACAGTCGTAATCGCAACCACTCACCCAACGACCGAGTCATACTAAATATTCATGATGATAATCTTCCCCTAATTTTAGGCCCGTATATCCAAGGATCTGAAAGAATTGAGAGACTCGTCTGTTTTTTCTTTCTTTATGGTCAATGCTCTCTTTGTATTGATTGTATTCTTGCTACAACTGAACAAGGACAACCTTCACATTAAGTGGCCCTTCGGAGTTAAAACTAACATAACATACGATGAGGTTACTCAAGAGGTAACGTGAGAGTCCACTACGAAGCGATCGGCATTCAACGATGACTCGGGACTGCGAGCTGTGATCGAGATTTGACATTTGAAAGTACTAAGCCTTGGCCATGTCCCCCGTCACCCTTGAAAGTTGATTAGATTTATTTAAAATATTTGTTTTATGAATATTTACAGGCACGAATTGCAGCAGACTTGCTCGAACTTCGCAATAAGTCGGTTTTCGCATTTGTTATGTTCAATGCTTTATTCATATTGATAGTGTTTTTATTACAACTGAACAAAGATCAACTCCACGTGATTTGGCCTTTGGGAATTAAGACAAATATAACGTACATCGAGGAAACAGGCGAGGTATAGCCAAATGTTACCACTGAAGTGTGTCACTACACAATCCTAACGACCTTCTTCTAACCGGTCTGTCTGGGAGGGCACACCAGCATGGAGTCCCGGCGACACTGAAGACTAAATAACTCTGATGGTTTTACGTCTAATCAATATCCAACCTGGTGTCCTTATGATTTGGTTTTGTGGAAACCCCGCGTTTTATCCGTAATAACAAGAGAATTCGACTACGGTGTTACAACAGAGCTGATTACATCTTTGGCGTTAAAGCTCGCAAACCCTATGTTGGACACCTAATCCTGAACAGCCTCTAGACTGGACATTATGACCAATCCAGTATTTTCCTGTTCTCCAATCCAATTCCGAGCATATGACCTGCACCTTTAAATAGAATTTTCCATGCCGCCGTAGTCGAATCTGAACCAAAACATGGAGTTTTTAGATGTGACAACCATTCACTTTCCCAATATGTGCACTGTTTCCAATCCAATTCACCGAGGAGTAACTTAATGTTTCTGTCTGTCTATTAAGGTGGAGGAATTTCTTTTAATATTACTTGTAACAGGGACACTGGTTTCCTTTGTACATAAGTATTTGTACACCCTAAAGGATGTGGTGATTTGCTTAACATGATTTAAAGTTCTCAGGATTATGTGGAAAACATGTACCTACTGCATTTTTATGTACCTAGCAACGGATTGTTTTGTGTGAACTATGTGTTTTCATTATTTCAATGTTCAATGTGGAGCGAGAACATTAAAAAAAATTCAACATTTTTCACAGAAATAAAAAATAACGCACTTGTATATAACAAAACGATTTTTTCTCTGAAATTAACTATCGCAATTAAGTTTCCATTTAATGTTTCGTAGTCAGATGTGGACTTTTTTCTAACAAATTATACGTTTATAGCTTTTTCTGTTTCGGGACTGTATTGATTACGATCCATTGTATTTATATCAAATAAAAATAAAAGTGCACATTTGACTCATTATTATTAATGGAAAATTTTAACTAATTTTAATTGTTTATTTATTTGTTTTTACTTTAGAAGGGCAAGCCTAAAGCATATTTGAATTTTCAGGTGTTAATATCAAAGGAATATCTGCAACTGGAGCCTATTGGTTTAGTGTTTGTATTCTTCTTCGCCTTGATCCTGGTGATACAGTTCTCCGCCATGTTGTTCCATAGATTTGGAACCCTCTCACACATATTAGCGTCGACAGAACTGAACTGGTTCTGTTCTAAGAAGGTAAATAGAAATTTCGACGACCTTTTTGTAATTTAATGAAAATAAACTACTTACTCACTTGAACTAACTGAGAAAAGCTTTACTAGTTGCTAGCCGACTTGAGTCAGTTGCGCGACGTCATCGCGACGCGCATGCTACTCATGAATAAGAGTCCCGTTGTGACTTGAAACTAGTAGAGATTTCTCAATTAATTTAGGAGAATAAGTAGTTTATTTTCAATCTTAAGGTAGATAGTTACCCTTTATGTGATTTTGTATCAGACGTTAGTTAAAATTTATTCTTCATCTATTTCTGTTTTTTCTAGTCTGACGACTTGTCTCAAGACGCACTACTAGATAAGAATGCAATAGCAATAGTAAAAGACCTGCAGAAATTGAATGGTCTGGACGACGATTATGACAATGACTCGGGCTCGGGTCCTCATAACGTCGGCAGAAGAAAGACTATTCACAATTTGGAGAAGGCGAGACAGAAGAAGAGGAATATAGGCACACTGGATGTGGCCTTCAAGAAGAGATTCTTCAATATGAACGCCAACGATGGACCAGGTAAAACCTTACATTTCTATAAAAAATCATTCATCTGTCTGTCTATAAGAACGCTACAAATTGAAAAACTAGCGAACGGATTTTTGTACGGTTTTTTTTATGTGATTAGTTCGGCAAATGAGCAGACGGATTACCTGATGGTAAGCAATTAGCGCCACCCGCAAACACAGAGCAGTTACGAGTGCGTTGCAGACCTTTTGGGGATTGAGGATTTGGAGACTTAGGGATTGAGGGAGGGGAAGAATTGGGCTTCTGGTAACCTCACAAACACGGCGAAACACTGTGTTTATTTCACGCCGGTTTTCTGTGAGGCCCTGGTATCACTTCGGTCGAGCCGACCCATTCGTGCCGAATCTAGCATGGCTCTCCCACACTTAAAAGGTTTATGGTTAGTGTGAGTCCTGAGGAAGATTAAGTGTAAAGTTTAATAAAATTTTGACCATATGGGTAAAAAATTCAGTACCTGCATACAACTGTGCACTGCACCTGGTAGTAAAATAACTAATTTAATTTCTGTTTTGTAAAGGTACACCAGTTCTAAATCGTAAGATGACGTTGAGAAGGGAAACGCTAAAGGCTTTAGAGACGAGAAGGAATTCAGTGATGGCGGAAAGAAGAAAATCCCAGATGCAAACACTTGGTGCCAATAATGAATATGGAGTGACAGGAATGGTAATATTTTTTTTATGTCCTTTAGGAGATAATATTTCAAAGAGTTTTCAGTTCAAGAATGCTTTAATTGGATTTGAATTCAACCTAAGAGTTTTTATATTATGTTATTGTTACAGCTCAATAATAACTTAGGTGTCGGGCCGCGGCACAGGACATCTAATGCCAACATATCAGTGAAAGATGTTTTCGGCGAGCCAAACGGAGGTCAAGTCAACCGAGGCTACGAAACCACCATAGGCGACGAAGATGACACAAACTCAATGAGATTACAACCTAGACAAAACCAAGTTTCCTTCCAGGGTAGATTCTAAAAGAGTTGCCAAACTAAGTGCCTAGGTTAAACAAATGTAGATACTAGAAATATAGACTGTAAAATTTTTTACAATGAAGAATCTCAGCAAATGTTTGCGGGAATCATGTATTGCTTGTGATATATACTTTTTTTAGGTCGTGACAGCAATGTGCCGTCATTAAATACCAACATCGGACAATTTACAGCTTTATTGTAAGATAAAACATACGAATTTACACTGCCACTTAACTTTACATTATTGATCTTTTTATACTTATTAAAATAATATCTTTGTATTAAAGATTTTTGTTTTAGTTCTTATGAATGTAGACATCGAATTAGTGTTGTATGTATTAAATGAGATTAAATTTGAATAAGCTTCTATGTTATTTAACCCACTTTTGTTTATTTCCAAATTACAAAATGTTCTTATAAAATACACAGCTCAATTTAGGAATTAATCTCTTGATGAAATAAAAAATAGAGAATAACTAAGGTAGTTATATTACTTACTTAATTTTCTAAGAAAGAAACAAATTCGGTTAACTTGAACAGCTGATCTTCACTGGATGTGTGGAGTGGTGCAGGCTGGGTGGGTGGTGTAGGGCTGACAGTAACTCCATCTTCATTCAACATCCATTTGCGGTCCCTGCAGATGTGTAGGACTGCGTCTTTGCTCAAACCAGTCATTGAGACGACAGTGTCAATTGATATAGAACTGTATGAGCGACCAATCAGGTTGAATGTGCGTTCCCTTATGTTATCTGAAAAAGCATAAATAAAAATAAATGTATAATACTTCATTCATTTAACATTTCAATTGTGGTAATTTAAGACAATAAGAGAATAATATTCTCTGCAAAAGCAATAAGTCATTCCTTTAACTGCATGGTTGGTGTAGTGGCTGGGCAACTGACTGCCACACAGGGTGTCGTGGGTTCAATTTCCGCATGGAACAACTCTTTGTGTGATCCACAAATTGTGATTCAGGTCTGGGTATAATGTGTATGTGTATAAACGCACCCACAACACAGGAGAAAATCCTAGTGAGGGGCAACTTTTTTCTAAAACTAGAAATAGAATAGATTTAATTTGTAATTAAATAAACTACACAAATATCAGATTCCAATTATGTTATCTTCACAACTAGCTTTTGCTACAGGCTTCACCAGCAATACCAGGGTAATAGTAGGCAATATCTTATTCCAGATTATAATCTTCTAGCTATTGTCGCGTGGCTTCACCCGCTGCTCGGCTCCATTTAATTGTAGTGTGATGTTTTATAGCCTATAGCACTCAGGAACATTGTAACTATCTATCAGTGAAAGAATTTTTGGAATACCAACCAGCAGTTCTAAAGATTACCCCCTACATACAAACTTAAAAACTTACAAACTTACCTACCTCTATAATATTAGTATAGATAAGTTTGACAAATTACATTCAGATCCATTCAGTAGTTTTTATGTGAAAGGGTAACAAACCCATGAATACTTACAAACTTTTGTGTTTATAATATTGGTAGCATACATTCAAGATCAATAGCCAAGTTATATAGGGCACATTACTATTTTGAAAAGATGACAGTTTATTATGTAAGTAGTAATGATCTCACCTTCTAAAGCTCGGATGATATTAGCAACAGGTTCAGTCCAGGTGAATGCAGCTAGAGCCTGGTAGGTACCAGGTAGGTCCTTTTTCCATAATTTCTGACCAACCGCCCATATTGCTGATATTTCCGGGTTACTACTTGTTATGTTCTGGGGGATTCTCTTCCACAGGAATTTTGCATTACATCTTTAATCAAATGAACAAACATTATTTTTTCTACATAGTGAAAATACATTCTAAAAGTTATATTATGATAACATTTAGAAGTCATATACCTTCAATTATTGTTTTGCTAGTTTCACTCTAGTAAGTCACAAAATAATAGAAATTACTTTTGGTATTAGGTTGTTTGAAAGGACAAAAGAAACATTTCACCTAAGGTAAGGCTTGAATTGTCAAGTATACAGTAACTTGTGACAAACATTTCTGATTCAAAGCAACATATTATCAAATACTTACAAGTCGTTTTGATATAAATATATTGCTAAGAGTTGTGCGTACGTAGAAGGAGATGCTATGCCGGTAGGAGCCTGTAATTAGAACAATAAAATACCAATTGTAAGACTTTCTTATTTATTTCTAACCTATAAAGGAATAATATAACGACAATTACAAAGTAATACCTCCAATTCTTGTTTCTCTAGATCTCCACAGAGTTTATCAAAATTGGTAATCATTGTATAAATCCTATTTCTACGAAATTAAGATTACGATTCGGACTCAATTATTTCGCACAACAATTCACTTTGACAGCAAAACAAGCCGTCCAAGAACCGTTCATTATAAATGACATTTAGTAGACGTTGTCATTTATGACAGTCCATTTGTGACGCGTTCAATATATGAATTGTCATTACTCATATAGCGTTCAATTTAAGAAGAGAAATGTGAGTTGAATAAATATTATTCAGCAAATAAATGGTGCCACTACCGATTCTTTTCATTTCTTCATAAGTATTTTTCGATTAAAAGGAAAGGTTTTTTCTCACTAATGTTTTTACAGGTTACATAACCTTACCCAAACTCGGTTTTTTATTTTGTGTAATTTTTGTTGTTTTATGAAATAATTAATTAAGTGGTTTTGTTATTTCTTCTTGCTACATCATTAATCTTTTTAACGTGTTTTTTCAAAGAGATCTATACATACTTTTTACCCTTGCACAATTTGAGCAACCTCTTCAGATGTGATATTCATGCATCATTTATGCAGACCATCTCGTGATGGTCTGCATTTAATACACCCTTTTTCGAGTTTTTAGCACCAGCCATCTTCTTCAGGTCATCAGTCAATCGAGATGAAAGGCGTCCCATGCCGTCTCTGACACAGGATCAACAAGCTGAATTCGCAGCTGGCTGGCCATGGCTGGACTTATAATCGATACAGGGAGAGACGTGCCTCGAAGTAGAGAACGTGTACCGGTAAACGCTGTTTGTGACTGTGGATTTGCAGTTATTAAGCTGATTTTTAATATCTTATACATGTGTGGCTGTATTATTTCTATGTACCACATAAAAAATGAAGGTTAGTCAACCAGGAACACGTTACGAAGTCATTATGTCTTCGTTGTCAGGAGAAATGGACATATCTCAGGCATGAGTATAAACTCGTAATTTGTAGGTACTAGAAGGTAGGCCAACGTGAAACATCAATTAGCGATCTTCCTATCCGCTCTATCAAACTGGTAGGACAATATTTCGTGGTAATAGTAACAATAAAATTAGAAGTGTGTGTGGTTCGGATTATTTAATTTTAGATTAGATCGACCTAATTACAGGTTTTTAAAAAAGAGTAAATTAGACTGCATTTGTTTCATTAAGTGTTAGAATTGTTATTTTTTTTAAAGAAATTATCATCACATAGAATGATTATAGGTAGGTAGATGCTTAAGTTGTGGACAAAAGTAAACACTTAGATAATTCTTCTGCTTATGCTTTCAGTGCTCCATTCAATTATATTTTGATTTATAGTGAATAAAGACTTAGGACATTGAATAGCTGTTTATTTTGTATCTATTTAGTGTCTGCCTAGTACTTATCCATGACTTGTTCAAGTACTATAGGTAAGTAAGTGCATATTCGTCGAAGTATTTAAAAGGTACTTGTCGTTCGCGTGGGTAGTTAGATTTTCTCACTGTCACCTCAATTTTATAAGCTTCGTGGCCTCGATTTTTATAATCGAATTTCACGGCTATTGATCGAGGGCTTGGGCGGGCTTGCCAGTCGACATGTCTACTCGCCTTGCTATTACATTGCATCACAATAGGCCGGTGAGCACAACCGGAGCTGATGGGCTGACGCGCTGAGTCACCCTTCAATATTGTCGCTCATAATGCTAATTTTCTCGTTATGCTTGTATCAATTTGCATCTTAATGCTTTTTGTTGTACATATTTGATCTTATTTGTTCATAATAATAGCTTAAGGAAATAGGTTTCGTACACACTTCAAAAGTATGTGCCGTCGTTCGTTGACATTTGTAAGGTGTATGCAAATTGTAATTATCTTGTTGCTTATCAGAGTTAAGGCTTAAGGCTTATGTTAATAAGACCAGAACTAAAAGTTGGATTTGGCTGAGTTAAATAAGTAGGTAGCTACATAGCTACTAGCTACTTGCTATGTATAAGTGGGCATAATTTATTGATCTATACAAATTTATTTTTTACTGAGTACCTTGAAGGGTAATGAGTTACCTAAGTTTTGGATTAGTGGTTTGATTAAAAGGTTTTGTTAAAATGAAACAAGATTTTTTACAAATTCCTGAGGTAGCGTGTGAGGTTGGTGGGAGAAACATACCTATTGAAAAAGTGTCATTATTTAAGGAAGCAAAAGTTAAGATCCCTAGCTCCCTAGACGAATAACGTAAATAAGCACGTGCTATGCAAGTCTGTATGATTTAGTTAGAATGTTAATGAGAAGCTTTTAAATAATAATACCAAATAGAGCGTTGTATTTATTAACTTGGTGTTCGTTAAAATAAAGTAACGACGAGCACCTCATTTGAAAGTAAAATTCCATCTATAAAACGACATTATTTTTACCGTAATAGGTAGCCAGTTACTTACTTAACACAAGATATTTATGTGTGTTCTATAACAATTAAGTTGGATTAAGGTTTAATAATGACTAAGTAATTAAAGTAGTTAATTTTGCCCAAGGTGCTTCGCACAAGGAGCGTTTCGTCACTTTCACTGTTCGTTGGATTGTCCAATGAAACTTGTCACGCTCTGGCGACGGTAACCAATGGGTATGCTTACCGCCCCGCCTCGATACAGAGGCGTGAGCTGCGGCCGCGGCCCAGATGCCCACAACAATGCCTTTGTCCCACGGTGCTAGGCAGCCACCTGAAACTACACGTAGGTACTACCTGATATCTACAACAAGTCGTTGAATAATCCATGTCCTCGCAATATTCAAATTTGCCTTGGAAGTAGTAAAATACATTTGAAGTCGATGCTTCTCTGCTCTCTGATGACCTGACCACAATCCTGGCTATAAATATCGGTGTTATGTGTGTGCAATGAAGTTGTTTTATATTTATGCACTAGGTCGATTGGTAGTGCCCTCTCCCACGTTTAGCAAACCTAGGGCTGTCACGAGTATTTAATGTAGGTGGTTTGAAAATGGTCATGTTCGTACTCGGTCCAGATTTTGCAAGTTCTGGTTTAAAAAAATATATACGTTGCGAACCAAATGCATCCAAATTAAATTCTGTTATTTAAAATTTTTCAGTTGGTCTATTTTCTAGTGGTATCTTGATATTGCTTGTGTACCTATAACGTTGACACGTAGAGATTACGTAAGGTTTCACTCCAGTAATGCTGCAAGTGGTGCAACATGGCCGGTTGGGCCCGCGGCCCGCATGACCCGGGCGCGGGGTCACCGGGCCCATCGCCGCCTGCGCCCGCGCCGACAGCGCTGTGCAAAATCGCTAATTACGTTCAAGCTTGGTTCTTCACGCCGAGCATACACGTGCTCACAATATTTGAACTAACATGTAATTGCGATTTTAGTAATCATAGCATGACTTTGAATATTGATTGATAGTTTATCCAAAAAAACAATGTGGTAATGTTAGTCTCTATTTTGTTGAGTTGATAGATAAGGCCAAGCTTTTCATTGAAATAGGTACAAGTAATAACTGAATTTAACAATTAATCTCGACAAATAATACTATATTATAATGTTCGTTAAACCAGAGTTTTTGGGCTATTTGCATTTTAACATAGTGATAAATTTTAGTCATACGCTGCACCATAGAAGGCTTTAACAAGAGGAAATGGTAATGATGAATATGTTTAATTTATTTTATATTAAATATTATTTCAACAAATCTACATCTGAGATGTTCGAAATCTTGTCTACGAGTTTTATGCTTTAAATATTCATAAATGGAACTCGTTCGACTAACTTTCATTCAATTTTAGTAGGAACATATTATTAATACATGAAATCAATTATATTTATGGTCTGTGGTACTAGGAGAACTAATTGAAACCTTCATTGAAACCGCGTCTTTCTCCCTACAACGGACATTAATAAATAAATTAAGCATAAACATAAATGCATGTAGGTATGACTAATAAATCGTAAAACAAATATAGGTACCACTTTAGGGTTCCACATAAGTCGTCTAGATGCAAAAGGCACGAGGTCAAAATTCAGAAAAGACAAAATGACAACAACTTCAACGCATCCGAACTTAATGGGTATTAATTAATACAATTAGCCGACGGCAAATTGCACGTAAAGACTGATATAATGAGCGTAAATTGAGGCGACTTTACACTTCTGATTTATTGTCCTGCACTTGCACGATTTCGACGAAAGAGAAAACGGACCAGTTCCGTCGTATATTACGAACAGTACATAAAATTGATAATGAATATTTATAAAAAACTTAATCACCGCTTACTGTGTTTTCCAGAGGGGTCAACAGGAGAAACCATTAATCAGAACATTTCCACTTAATCATGTAAATGCACTTGTTTTCTTTCTACTTAGCCTGATGACTCTGATGTAGGCGCACGTTATTAAATCTCGCTTGTAATGTAATCTCTTATTTCTGTAATGCATTGACCAGCAAATTGTTGCATAATTTAAAAAACTGGGCTAACATCGACTATTCAAACTCATGCTCATATTATATAAGAAGTAATCACAAAATGCATGTCATTGTGTGACCAAATATGCATAGATGTGCAACATGAAATTGCTGATTGAACATTTATGAATAATTTGACCTGCTCATACTTACATTTATTAATCCGGTCTTAGAAATAGAATAGTAGTAGTGTGACTGCTATTTTTGCATGTTTTATGCCGAATGTATCTGGTATTAATGCAAAATTCAAATGTGATAGTGTTTGGCGAAGGAGAGCTCCACGTTTTAGCAGTGTATTTTGTAAACGCTTGTAGATTCAAGGCCTGCGACATCTCGTTTACCGAAAGTCGTTTAGCTTACATTGTAAAATACCCGTTTGCTCGGTGTTTGAGTTTTGTAACTCTAATTTGGGAATTATTTTATAATTTTCTCATGAATAAGCTAATGAGAATGAATTGTCTGCAACCGTCATGCTTCCACTATTTATGTTCATTGCGGTTTTACACACAAATACTGCGCTACCCAGGTTAAGTATTAACGTAAATAGAAGCCTTTTTTGGTAAAAGAATATTATCAA